TATGTTGATTGGTCAACTGATTGCTGTGGTCTGTAGGTCCTCCCAGGGTGGTTGTTATGCTATGCATGCTACTGTTACCTTAAAGCACACCCAGAGGCTACCAGCTAACTTCTGATTGGTTCCTTGACACACAGAGTGTATTTGACTTCCTAGTGCCTGGGGCAGGTCAGTGCAGGCCCAACATGTGCTGAGTCAGAGGCCTACATCTTGCTGGGTCTTTTCTGTAGCTTGTCATGGCTGCTAAAACAGGGGGCTGGGTGAGGGTCTGGTCCCTTCACTATGCCACCAACTTAGAAAAAGAAGAGGAAGGGGAAGAAGAGGAGGAGAAAGATTTACTTTGTAGGTTAACTTATTTTAAATAATAAATGAACAAACAAACAAACAAACTTTTAAAAGATAGGCATGGTTATGTACTGAGTTTTAGGTCAGCTAGGGATACATAACATCCTGTCTTTAAAATTAGAGATTTATTAAATAAAATAAGCCAGACATGGAGGTTCACTTTTGTAAACTCAACACTTCAAAGGCTTTGGGAAGGGATATTGCTGAGTTCAAGACCAACCATAGTAGCTACATTTCACGCTCATCTCAAAATAAAAAAAAAATTATTCTTCCCTTGGAATCTCTTCTACTCTTGGGAATTTCTTCTCACTTTTCTTGAATAGATCTATGCTCCCTGTGTTGAAAATTAATTAATTAGCTGATTAATTAATTATAATTTTTCCATTTCTTTTCCTCTCCAGACAGGGCTTCTCTGTATAGCCCTGGCCGTACTGCAACTCACTCTGTAGACCTGGCTGGCCTCAAACACACATAGATCTGCCTGCCTCAGCCTCCCAAGTGCTGGGATGAAGGGTGTGTCCCATGACTGCCCAGCATACATTTCCAAAGTAAACAAAACAGGGACTGGAGAGACAAGTCAGCACTGAAGAGCATTGACTACTCTTCCAAAGGGCCAGGGTTCCATTCCCAACACCTGAATGATGACTCACAACTCTAACTTTAGTTCCAGAGGATCCAACAACTTTTTCTGGTCTCCAAAAGCATTGTACACATGTTGTTCACAGCTATACATTCACGCAAAATATCTATCTACAAATAAATAAGATGAATGAAAAAATAAACAAAACCAAAAACGTAAATGTAAGGATTAGGCATTATGCTGCCCTGCCCCTCTCACCTGGCAGAATACACTCAGGCAGTTCCCTGGTCAGCCCAGGGTTCTGTGGTTGCTTAGTTTGCACGCAGGTGCAAAGGATCCCTTTAAAAATCAGACCCCTGCCCACTTACACTCCTTCCTGTTCTTTCTTTCCTGCTATTCCCCTGAGGCAGACAGGACTTTTCCTGTCTCCCTCTTTTTTTCTGTCCTCTCTCTGTCTCTGTCTCTTTACCTCTTTTCTCTCTCCTTCCCCTGCTCCCATTCTACTAAAACTTCTCACTAAGCTCTGTCTGCCTGGCAATGTTTGTCCCCTGCCTTGGTAACCCTTGCCTGCCATGGAATCTGACAGGGTCCTCCCAAGTATTATCCCAACAGTAAACAAAATAAAATGATTGATTAAAAAAATAAGTGTGCTGGTGCAACACACCTTTAATCTAGCATTCAGGAGACAGAGGCAGGTGGATCTCTGTGAGTTCCATGCCAGCCTGGACAGCTAGGGATAGGTAGAGAGACCATGTTTCAAACAAACAAATAAACAAACAAACACAAAACCAAATATAATAGCTCATGCCTGTAACCCTAGCACTTCAGAGTGGGTGACAGAGACAAATGAGTCATCCATGATTGCAAAGACAGCTTGGTCTCCATGTGACTTCCAGGGGAGCAGGGGTGCTTGGTGAGACCCCATCTCAACACACACACACACACACACACACACACACACACACACACACACACACACACACTGCATTTAACTAGACAGAAAAAGGCTTTCAGCTTATTGCAAACACAAACTCTTCCTCATATGTTTAGGTCAGACTGCCCTGGTGCCCTGTTGACCTGCGACAGACCAGACACAGATGCTTCACAAATTCCCACTCCTTGTCTCATAAACTGTATAATGCATTAACTGAACTGTTTGTCCCTGAAACTGGCTAGACTTGGAGATAAATATTTCCTGTTTGGCTGACTGACTGAGACTTCCCCTGAGTCCAAAACATCCCAGTTGCTGATAGCTACTAAAAAAGAATGTGTTAATTACCCCAGAACCAGTTTTGAGACTACTCTGATCTTCTCCTCTATGAACCCTAGGCCTACCACTGAGGCAAGGACTCTACCACTGAGTCACACTATAAGGTCCTCGCCCATCTAGAGTTAGTAAAGCTTCAGAAATCTATGCATTGTTCCCCCAAATTAATTTCTTCATAAAGAAAACAGTTGTAATTTTTAAAAAGGCTTATTTTTTGTATGAGTGCTTTGACAGTATGTACATATGTGTACCACATGCACACAGAGTTCAGAAGAGAGGGTTGAAAGCCTTGAAACTGGAGTTCCAGGAGGTTGTGAGCCACCATGTGGGCACTGGGAACCAAACCCAGATCCTCTGCAAGTGCAGGAAGTGCTCTAACTGCTCAGCTATCAAGACAGCCTGTGTTTTTGGTTTTTAAAAGAGTGTCACAGCTAGGCATTGTGGTGCATATCTTTAACCATAGCACTCAGGTGGCCAAGGCAGGCAGATTTCTGTGAGCCTGAAGCCAGCATGGTCTACAGAGTGTGTTCCAGGACAGCCAGGGCTCTGTAGAGAAATCCTGTCTCAAAAAACAAAACAAACCCCAGGTGGTGGCGGTGCACACCTTTAATCCCAGCACTGGGGAGGCAAAGGCAGGTGAATCCCTGTGAGTTTGAGGCCAGTCTGGTCTACAGATCGAGTTCCAGGACAGGTTTCAATGGTACAGAGAAACCCTGTCTCTACCATTATATCCTCAGGCTCACATCACCTTGTAGTCAGTGACAAGTGAGAAGCAAACACTGGGAATGGAATGTAGATCTTCACATACACTTGAATAAGCATTACATTGATTTAGGAAATGAAATGCTTGGATATGCAGCAAAGAGTTGATTGTCCTTGCCATGAGGAATCGTTGGTGGCTTCTGATTTCAGTTGATTTTTCTCTTCCCGTGGCAGCTTGCATGGTTTGATTGAGAAGCCTCGGCTTCACAGTGACACTCAGCTCTCTGCCTTTGTTGGGATCTGAACAATGTAACTGCAGAAAGACCCTCTCCCTGCATGGAGTGTGTCTTTTTGGTTTTTTCCTGACATGTTCCTTATAGAAACATAAGTCATTCCAGTGACCTGTTACTTATGGAACCTCCAGCCTCACTACAGGAGAATTGAGAGTTCAAGACAAGCCTGGCCTACCAAGCCAGACCAGACTCTGTATAAAAAAAAATCAAATTAAATAAAAAAAAACTTTAAAAAATCCCAGTACTCAGAAGGCAGAGACAGCTGTGTGTTTGAGGATACTCTGGTCTACACAGAGGGTTCCAGGCTAGCTAGTGTTAATTCTCAAAAAAATTTTTTTTAATTAAAAAAAACTGGGCTAGACACATAGCTCAAGTGGTTGAATGCAAGCCCAGTGTGCAAGAAGCCCTGGGTCCAATTCCCAGCCCCACACCAACTGAAAACTGTGGTTCACAAATGTAATCTTAGCACTTGAGTGGTAGAGGCAGGAGGATCATAATTTCAAGGTTATTCTTTGCTATGCAACAAATTGGAAAACTGACTGGACTGTGTACATCCTCGTTTCAAGAAACAAAAGAGCCAGAGGGTGAAGGCACACACCTTTGTACCTGGGAGGCAAAGGCAGGCAGATCTCTATGAGTTTGAGGCCAGCCTGATCTGCAGCCAGAGCTGTTGCTACAGAGAAACCCTGTCTCAAAAACTGGGTGTGGGGGGAGAAAGAAGGAAAAAGAGGGAATTAATTTATTGTAATGAAGTTATGGTGATAATTTAAGAATCAAAGGACAGAGTAGCCAGTTTAGGAAGGTCTATTTTTGTTTCTTCAGCTCTTCAGCAAGTCAACCTCTGTCTATATTTCTGCAGACAAGCTCCCTTGCATTATTTATTTATTATCTATCTTTGGGTTGTTAATCCCGCCAATGGAGAATAATACCACTATTACAGTTGTAAAAAAAACAAAAGGGTCAAAATAGCCATTTAAAAACCATGTCCAGCCGGGCATTGGTGGTGCATACCTTTAATCCCAGCACTCAGGAGGCAGAGGCAGGCGGATCTCTGTGAGTTCGAGGCCAGCCTGGTCTACAGAGCAAGTTCCAGGACAGCCTCCAAAACAATGCAGAGAAACCCTGTCTCGAAAAAACAAAAATAAATAAAATAAAAACCATGTTCTTTCCCTGACCCTTTTATTCTATAGACCAGGCTGACATTGAACTCCTAGAGATCTGCCAGCCTCTGCCCTGAGTGCTGGGATTAAAGGCTTGTGCCACCAGGACATAATTTTGTTTGTTTTCTTTTCTTTTTTGAGACAGGATTTCTCTGTGGAGCTCTAGCTGTCCTGGCACTCGCTCTGTAGACCAGGCTGCCCTGGAACTCACAGAGATCTGCCTGCCTCTGCCTCCAGAGTCCTGGGATTAAAGGTGTCGTCGACCACTGCCCTGCTTTAATTTTTTTTTTCCTGAGACAGGTTCCTTATATAAAATAGCCTCACTGAGACCAGCCTGGCTCTGCTGCCAGAGTACTGAAATTAAAGGAGTGGCCACTGTTGAAACTCCGCCCTTATGCTGACCCCACCCCCTTACGTCATGCAGGGCATACACAGTTATGGCTACTCACGTAGGACTGTTGACTGTGGTTCGTGTCTCATTACCCATAAACTTAAAATAACAGTTGTTCCCTGACCAGGCTAGGGTCCCCCCAGCTCCCGTACGGGTACCTCGAGGATCCTAGACTCCAAACCAGCAGCCCACATTCCATCCACCCGAACCTGGAACCCTCCATCCAACAGCCACAGCAGCTATGATTCGGTAAGGAACCCCCTCTCAGTCGGCATAAATGTTTCCCTGAACCCAAAGGATTGACCGTTGAGACGTTGAGCGTCCTGAAACCTTTTGGTGTTCTCAGAAGCAGGTGGGGGAGGTGGGGGGTGGGAGGGGTGGGGGACCGACTGAAGGACACGACCTTCAGACCCTTCTAGCCTGACAATCACTTCTGGTTCCATTTCTCTTGGAGGAGTCCCAGTGTTAATCGTTTCCGCTCTTTCGGCAGCTTTTTCTTAACTGCGTTTTGTTTCCAAGCCTTCGGCGGCTTGTCACTGCCTTCCAACCCTGGGTCCTATATCCGGCAGTTTTTCTTCAGCCCTGGCTAGACTCTCGGGCTGAAGAGCTCTGAAGAGTTGATTTTGCCAGTTTTTCTTCTTTTTTTGCCTCACCCATGGGTAACAAACCAGCAAAGGAAGTCAGCCGATTCGCTCCACTGGGATACCTCCTAGAAAACTTAAAATCCTTTCATTAATGCCATTCGTTAAGACTCATTTATCTCAGCACTAAGAAACGGCCTAGATATTCCTTAGATGACGAGTCTCCTTGGCCACCAAACGGCTCTCTGGATCCCGATAGTTTATGGGACCTCTCTACTGCAGCAAGGGGTAGATGGAAGGGGAGTTATCTTTTTTTTTTTTTTTTTTTTTGGTTTTTCGAGACAGGGTTTCTCTGTATTGTTTTGGAGGCTGTCCTGGAACTCGCTCTGTAGACCAGGCTGGCCTCAAACTCACAGAGATCCGCCTGTCTCTGCCTCCCAAGTGCTGGGATCAAAGGCGTGCACCACCAACGCCCGGCAGGAGTTATCCTATGTCCATGCTTTCCTCTACCTCTTGGCTAAACATTCTCTTTCTTCTCTCTCCTTCATCTCATTCTTCTAGCTATGAAAACTAAACCTGAGGATAACCCCACCAATCTAGACCCCGCTGATGAGCCTCCACGGATTCGTTCCCAATCTTCGGCTAAACCTTCTAATTCTTCTACCCCCTCCTTCTTCTTCCTCTTCCGTTTCTCCTCCAGCTCCCTTCTCTCTGGAACTGGGATGCTCCACAGATTCATCTCTCCCCCCTACCTTTACTCCACCAACCACCCACTCTCGAACTGCTATAGGCCTTTGACCTGTCAAAGTCTACCCAGGCGAGAAGTGGCCTGGGTGCATAGCCTGGTCAAGGTCCACGTCCCTTTCTCACTATCAGAACTTTCTCAGACACGACAGAGACTAGGTTCCTATACTTCTAACTCCACTGCTTTCATAAAGGAGTTTCAGTACATCGCTCAATCCTATAGCCTTACTTTTCGTGTTATATTCATGATTTTAACTAATAACCTACTGCCTGAGGAACGTAGGCAAGTTTGGGGGGGCAGGCTAGGGCATAGGCAGAGGAGGTTCATCAACCTATTGGGGCAGAGGCTGTTCCAGATCAGGAGCCCCAGTGGGATTATAATAAATACCTCAGGGGGAATTTTGGCTAGAGATCAGTTTACAACCTGCCTCATGGCTGGTCTACATAAGGCTGCCCTAAAACCAATTAACTATGAAAAGATTCTAGATGTAGTTCAGGACAAAATGGAAAATCCCTCTCAGTTCCTAGAACACCTTACACAGGCCTTCTTACAGTACACTAACTTAAACCCAGAGGGGACAGAGGTAAGACAACTCCTTATGACATTTTTTTCTCAGAGCTACCCTGACATTAGGGCTAAATTAAGCATCTAGAGCTAGGACCCCTAGCCCCACAGGCAGAGGCTTTAAGAGTGGCTTTCAAGGTGTACCATAGGAGAGAGGACAGGGCCCTTAAGAACAAGCACCAGATGCTGGCCAAGACTGTCCAACCAGCCTCAATGTCTGCCCGGGATCTCCTGACCTCCAGGGCTTGAGGACAGAATAGTCCATATTTCAAATGTGGTCAGGAAGTCGATTGGGCCCGGGCTTGCCCTAATCCCCGTGAACATCACAAAATACCAGGAAGGGGGCCACTGGTCAGTGGACTGTCCCCGTGCCCCTTGTGGCAGGAGGACATCAGATACAGACCACCCTGTAGCTGACTTCCTAGCCCTGGCCATGGATGATAAAGAGTGAAGGGGCCTGGGCTCTCTTAACCTGACCACTGTCATCTCTGACAGGAAGCCCCGGGTAGACATTAAGGTATCAGGGCAATCCATCTCCTTCCTTTTGGACACCACATACTCAGTCCTGAGGAAGTTTTGGGGACCCACCTCTCCTCGTCTCCTCTCGTCGTGGTAGGGGGACAGCCTTACTTCACCACTTAGCTGTATATTCAGGGGAATTCCCCTCACTCATTTGTTTTTGGTTATACCAACTTGTCCTGTGCCCTCACTGGGGAGGGATCTTTTAGCCAAGGTAGGAGTTTCTATTTCTTTTGCTCCCCACATTCGACCAACTCCAGCCTCACCAGCGACTCCTCTCTTCCTCCTAGCCACCTACCCTGTGGCTCCCAGTAAATTGTTTCCTCTACCAGCCTCTCAGGTAGACCCCAAAGTCTGAGACACCCAAAACCCTTCTGAGGCTAGGCACCAATCCCCCATTGTCATCCAGTTACAGGACCCCTAGAGGTACATCACTCAAGTCCAGTACCCACTCCCAGTCCAGAGCCTTAGGGGACTTAAACCTATTATCTCTCACCTCCTAAGTAAAAGTTACTTTGTCCTATATCCTCACCCCTATACTGGCAGTTAAAAAACCTAATGAGACCTATAGCCTGGTTCAAGACCTCCGGCTCATTAATTCTGCAGTGGTCCCCCTCCATCCTGTGGTACCTAATCCTTACAGACTTATTTTCACTATCTCTTCAGGGACCTCTCATTTCTCAGTTTTGGATTTTAAGGACGCCTTTTTCTCTATACTCCTCAACATTCAATCTCAAAATATCTTTGCTTTCACCTGGACTGACCCTGACACTCACGCCTCCACACAGCTCACCTGGACCTTTCTACCTCAGGGCTTCTGGGACAGCCCACACTTATTTGACCAGGCTCTAGCTTCTGACCTACTCTCTGTCTCTCCCCAAATCTAAGCTCATACAATATGTAGTTGATATTTTACTTTGCAGCTCATCCTTAGAAGTTAGCCAGACTGACACCTCCGCTCTTCTAAATTTCCTGTCCAGTAGGGGCTATAGAGTCTCACCTTCTAAGGTCCAACTGTCTACTCCTCAAGTCACCTACTTGGGACTAACCGTCACCCCAACTCACAAAGCTATTACCTTAGACAGGAAGAACCTAATCCAGTCTCTTGCAGTTCCTTCCACTAAAGAGGAAATCTTGTCAGTTTCTAGGAATAACTGGCTTCTTATGCCCCTGGATCCCCTCCTACTCTCTGCTTTCTCGTCCTCTATATGAGGCAGCTCTTGGCTCTCCATATGAAGCCCTCCTTAACCCTGTTACTAAGCCCTTCAGAAACTCACACAGGCTCTTCTCCAGGCCCCAGCCCTTCATCTTCCAGACCTAACTCACCCTTTCTCCCTCTACTACGTGACAGAAAAGGAGGAATATACCCTTGGAGTTCTAGGTCACCAGTTAGGACCTTCCTTTGCACCCGTAGCATGTCTGTGGAAACAAAATAACAGCCACCAAAGCCTGGCTCTTTTGTTTTGAATCAGGGTCTTACTGTTTTCCAGGTTGGCCTTGAACACATAGCAATCATCTTGTCTCGGCCTCGAGAACGCTGGGATTACAGGTTTTCTGAACACTAATTTCACCCTTCAAGGCCCTAAATCATACTCATACTAAACACATTTGATATAACACACAAGCCAGCGGCCAGCAATCACCTCTGTTGGGATAAAACCGTCGGGCTCCGCCCACGTCCGCGGAGGTTTGAAGGCCCCGCCCCATCCTTCGGAGTTTCCCAAAAGCCCGTGCGGCAGGCCCGGCAGCTCCAAGATGGCGACTCCCATGCATCGGCTGATAGCTCGCAGACAAGCGTAAGTGAGACGCCCAGTGGGGTCTGAGGGAGGGCTGTGGGTGTGGAGACGCCAGTCCGCTAGTTAGTGAGCTGGCACGGGCTGCGGGACTGAGCGCGCTCGGAGAGTCCGAAGTTAATCAAAGGGTTGTTCGTTGTGTGGTTTATGTTCCTCTGTCCGTCCCACACTTTTGTCAAGGGTAGCCTGGATACTTGATCCCACACCTTCGCTCCCGAGGACCGAAACTTCTCCCACTTCTCCCTTTGCAGCATTTCCGGTCTCCTTCCTATCGCCTTTCCTGGAAACAAGCCTGTCTCCAAAGCCTTTACTCTTTTCCCATCTACCGTCTCACTTTCTACGGTTCTCTCCTTCAGCAAATGATTGTTTTAGTACCTACTACTCCATGCCTTTTTTTTTCCAGTGGAGAAAAATGTTCGGGACAGGATGCTTATGTTCTAATTGTGGAACCAGTTGATCCTCTGAACAAGTACATTTGGTGCTTTTAAAAATCTTTGCAGGAAATAAAAGGCTGCGATGGGAATACGGGAAAGACTTCAAATTAGTTGGACTGGAAATGCATTACTGGAGAGGTGACATTTCAAGACACACTGAAAGGCATAGGAAAGACAGAGTCACCAGAGGGCTTGGGAAAAGAAACGCTAGACAGTGGTATAATTGCTTTAAGGTTATGAGAACTTTTTAAAGAAATAAATAAACAAATAATAAATAGATAAATAAAAATCTCAATCTGGTAACAATTTTGTTTAGGAAACTTGATAGCTTTTAACAAGCGAACACTTCCTTTAATTTCCTTTGCTCCTATTCTTTATTTTTTATTTTTTATTTTTTGGTTTTTCGAGACAGGGTTTCTCTGTATTGTTTTGGAGGCTGTCCTGGAACTCACTTTGTAGACCAGGCTGGCCTCGAACTCACAGAGATCCGCCTGCCTCTGCCTCCCGAGTGCTGGGATTAAAGGCGTGCGCCACCAACGCCCGGCCTCCTATTCTTTATTTTTGATTGGTGTTTCGAGACAGGATCTTTCCGCATAGTCCTGGCTGTTCTCTAACTCAGAGATCCACCTGCCTCTGCCTCCCACGCTGGGATTAGAGAGGCTTGAGCCACCACCCGCGGTAGCCCAAGACCCAGCACTTAGTTCAGGTTAGCCTGAACTGCATATCTAGTTCTAGGGCATTCAGAGCTGCATGCTGAGACCCTGGCTCAATAAACAAATAAATAATAACAAAAACCTTAATTTTAAGAGTGCTAAATTAAGTTGCTAGGGTCTCATTTCACCCTTTTTCTCTTAAACTGGGTCTTTTGGATCCAGACTTAGGCAATTTCAGTGACAAGATGGCTTGTTTCGTTTTGTTTTTTGAGACAGGGTTTCTTTGTAACAGCCTTAGCTATCCTGGAATTCACTTTTGTAGAGCAGGCCGACTTGGAACTCAGAGATCCACCTGTCTCTGCCCCCTGAGAACTGGGGTTAAAGACGTGCTCATTTTAAAATAAAACCTTACAGCAGGACGTTGGTGGTGCACACCTTTAATCCCAGCACTCAGGAGACAGAGGCAGGTGGATCTCTGTGAGTTCGAGGCCAGCCTGGTCTACAGAGCAAGCTCCAGACAGCCTCCAAAACAATACAGAGAAACCCTGTCTTGAAAAACAAGAAAACCCTTCTAGCATTGTTAAGTTTACCCTCTGTGTGGCCATGTGATAGTGGAATGTTCAGTTTCTCAAACCTATGAAAAGTTATGTGAAACTGAAAGGAAAATACTGCTTATGAATCTAATACCTGCTTCTTTGGGGGGGGGACATTTGAGACAGGGTTTCTCTGTGGCTTTGGAGGCTGGCCTGGAACTAGCTCTTGTAGACCAGGCATGCACCACCACTGCAGGGCTACCTGCTTGCTTTTAACTTTCTTACTTTTGATGTAAACTGTGATTTATTAGTTATAAATCTGAGTATTGGGCCAAATGTGATAGATAATGCTTTTAGTCTCAGCACTTAGGAGGCACAAACAGGTGGATCTCTGTTGAGTTCAAGGCTAGCTTGGTCTACAAAGCGAGTTTCAAGACAGCTGGGACTTTTAACATATAGAAACCCTGGTGTGTGTGTGTGTGTGTAGGAATGGAGACCAGAGGAGTTTTTAGGGTCAGTTCTTTGCTCCTTCCACCACACAGATTCAGGGATCCAACTCAGATCTTCAGGCATACAGGAAGCACCCTTACCTAACCAGCTATCTCCCATCCTTAAAAGTGTTTTAACAATAATGGGTTAGCGGTCTACCTTAGTGGTAGCATTTGCTCCACGTGCATGAAGGAGGCCCTGAGTTTAATTATCTAGCCCTATGAAGAATAAAGTAAAATAGAAATCTGTAATTATCCTTTGCATTCTGAACTAAAAATGTTGTTCTGATTGTATCATTACTGGAAAGCAAAAACAATTTTTGTTTTTATGTGTTAGTTTTGCTTTGAGACAGGATCTCAATCTGTAGCTTAGGTTAGCTTTGAACTCACAGCCCTTCTCCTGCTTTAGCCTGAAAAGTGAAGGATTACAAGCATGAAACACCACACTGGGTTTAAAAGAGCCAAGATTTGTTCTGTTAATCCCAGGTTGCATGCATTGATCCGCATAACTCTACTATTTCTGTGTCTATTAGAGTAAACATCACTTTATACTTTATGCCTTTTTAGGTCAGAAAGTGTCACAAGATAAAACTTGTTTATTTTTTGTAGTGAAGCCAATAAGCAACATGTAAGATGTCAGAAATGCTTGGAATTTGGACATTGGACTTATGAATGCACAGGAAAAAGAAAGTACCTCCACAGGCCTTCAAGAACAGCGGAGCTGAAGAAAGCTTTAAAAGAGAAAGAAAATAGATTGTTGCAGCAAAGGTAAGTTTACATGTGGTATCCAGAGGAAGTTACCCAAATATTTACATAATTAAGGGCTGAAAAGTTTTGTTATATTATTAGCTGAATTTTTTGTTTATTTTGGGTTTTGGACATTGTCTCACTATGTAGCTCAGACTGGTCTCAAGTTTGCAGTCCTCCTGACTCAGTGTTCTGAGTGCTGGAATTGCTACCAATCCGGCTTATACTGGTATTGGTTGATTTTAATGAATGATAACTGTGTCAGGCATTATACTGTGCTTTTCACAAGTGTTAGCATATCTAAACCTCCAATCTGTACTTGTAAGATAGCTGTTAACCCACTTGTGTGCTCACACACGAGCTTGTGCATCTGCCTGTTTCATGCAAGCTCACTGGACTGCTCTTCATGATGTTAAGGAATACAGTCTTGAGGTTCTGTGGGACTTTTTGTTTTTGTTTAAACAGTAACTAAAATTTGGGTTAAATTTGATTTTGTAAAAGAATGAAATGACCAAGTGTAATTCTAGGAACTCAGATTACATCTATTGTGCTTTTGTTTGCCTGACTTGTTCAGTAAGTAGTTCAAGCTCTAAACAAAGAAACAGATTTGTGTGTTCATTTATCTTAACTACTAACTGGCTTTGATGTATACAAGTTAAACTGTGTTGTTAAGCAACAAGTCAACCATATGTACTGCCCGTATCCTGTCCCAGGAAATTTCAGTTGATTATAGAAAGAAAGCTTGTACCCTTGAGCATATGTAATGAAGAACAGAGTGTTCTGAGGCTGGCAGAGGCTTCTAAAGTCACTCTTATTAATAGGAGCTTTTGTTCTCCTTTATGTCCTTTAGCATCGGAGAGACTAATACAGACAGAAAGACCAAGAAGAAGAGGTAGGTGTGGCTTCCAGTGACACTACCTGGAGGGAGGAAGATGGGGTCTGAATTCTTGGTTTGCAATTCTTAATTATTGTGTTTTCTAATACTTTCCTCTTCTTTGGAATTTATTAGCTCCTTTTTTTGTTTGTTGTGTTTTTTTTGTACAGTGTTCTAGAATCCTTATACCTAGTCTAACAAACTCTTACCAAAAATTTGCTAAAGGGTACTGGGAAAACGTCTTAGTTAAGTATTTGCCATGCACGTGTTTAAATAGCTAGGTGCAGCAGTGGGGTTCCTACAACCACAGTGCTGGGGCAGTAGAGATGGGTGGATCCTGTGAGTTACTGAGCACCCAACTCAGCGGAACCAATGAGTTCCAGGTTCAATTGGAACCTCTCAAAAGTATAGAACAAATGTTTTTGTTAAGTCTATGCATGGCTGCTCTTAATATAGACTCCTGGTAGGCTTGGAGCTGGCTATGTAGAACAGGCAAGCCTTGATCTCAGAGATCTGCCTGCTTCTGTCTCCCCAGGTTTAAAGGTGTTTTCCACCATGCCTGACTTTGTCGTTTTTGCTTGTTTTTTTTTTTTAAGATTTACCTATTTATTATATATGTATATACTGTTCTTCCTGCATGCCAGAAGAGGCACCAGATCTCAATTATAGATGGCTGTGAGCCACCATGTGGGTGCTGGGAGTTGAACCCAGGTCCTCTGGAAGAACAGCCAGTGCTCTTAACCATCTTCCCAGCCCTTTTTCTTTTTTAATTGTTTGGTTTATTTTGATTTTGAGTTATTTTATTTACATGTATATGTAGAGGTGCTTCTGGATGTTAGAAGGGGGCATTGGATCCCTTGGAACTGAAGTTAAAGGGGTTTTTGAGCTGCTCGATTGGGTGCTGGTATCCAAATTCCAGTCTTCTGACAAAACAGTAAGGCTTCTAAATGCCAAGCCTTCTCTTTAGCCCTTGTTTTATTTTCCGAGACTAGATCTCGCTCTGTACCCTACGCTAGCCTCAAACTCTTGGTGATCCTTCTACTTCAGCTTACTGAGTGCTAGGATTCCAGACTTGAGCCACCATTCCCTGCTTTTCCTTTGTTTTTCTTTCTATTTGTAGGGGACAGATTACCTTACTGTGTAGCAGAACTTCTGATCCTCCTGTCTCTACCTCCTGGGATTACAGGCATGTGCCAGCATGCTCAGTGTGACATAGTGTGGAGGTATACCTTGTGAACTCCAAGAGCTGCTCAAGTGTTGGAGAGCTTGTAAAGAGGGGAGGCACACGTTACAGCAGTTAGGCGACCTCCAAACATCTGGGCCGAGAACTAGTGTGCAGGCCCTCAGCATGATGGCTCTTAAGCACTATGTTAAATGCCAGCTTCCCATGTGTGCATGCTTTGTGTAACTTGAATAGGTCTAAGAGTGTCACGAGTTCCAGTGCCTCTAGCAGTGACAGTTCTGCCAGTGAGTCTTCATCAGAGAGCGAGACATCTGCCTCATCCTCCTCAGAAGACAGTGACTCGGATGACAGCCTCTCTAGCTCCTCCTCATCAGTTTACTCCTCCTCCTCTTCCTCCTCCTCTGACTCAGACTCGGACTCCAGCACCTCCAGTAGCAGCAGTTGCAGTACAGAGAGTAGTTCAGATGATGAGCCGCCAAAGAAGAGGAAAAAGAAATAGGATGCTCTCCATTGGACTAGTGGACCAAAAACATCAGTGTGATTCACACTGAAAACTGGGAACTGAGAACATACTCAAGCAAGCAGGCTAGATGGTCAGCTTGTTAGAATTCAGACCTTTCTAAGTATTCGCCATTGTACAGAATATTAATAAAAGATATATATGCATTTATTTTAGGAATGAATGAATATTGTGTTCTTTTTGTTTTTGTTTTTTCGAGACAGGGTTTCTCTATGTCTTTGGAGGCTCTCTTGGAAGTAGCTCTTTGTAGACTAGGCTGGTCTCCAACTCACAGAGATTTGCCTGCCTCGGCCTCCCCAGTGCTTGGATTAAAGGCTGAATATTGTGTTCTTGCTATTTTTTTTTAAGTTGGGGGTCTCTGTTTGTAGGTCTGGTCAGCCTGGAACTCACTATGTAGAGGAAAGCTGGCCTTGATTTCAGGAGATCTGCTTCTGCTTCTTCTAGTGCAGGGATTAGATATAAGTGTAACCATCTCAGCTTTTGTTGACTTTTTTGTTTTTTTGTATTTGAAGTGTATCTGTAGAACATAAAGCTGAAAACCAGGAAATCTGTTTCAATGATGTCATTTTTTTCTGCCTATGAAATGAATGCCTTATGTGGGTATGTGTTAAGGTGTGTATAGGACAGGTGTTGAAGATACTGCATCAGAAGATCAAGGAAGGAGTTGCTCTTTTTTGCTGTGTTAACTATGTGTGATTTGATACATTGTTATTATAAGTGTAGCTTTCATACTGTTAATAAATGTGCTCTATTTTTATGTTTGTGCTCAGAAAATTAATCTGATTTTTCTATCCTGAATATATAAATTCAAGGAACCTAATAACAGTACATTGGAATGATGTTAAGTTTCAAGTTTTTATGTTTTTTGTTTAAGATTTATTTGCATGTGTATCATATTTGTGTGAGAACATCTGGAGGCCAGAAGAGGGCATCACACCCCCATGACTGGAGCTATAGGCTGTTGGAAACTGCTATGTGGGTGCTGGGAATCAAACCTGGGTCTTAGCATGAGCAGCAAGTGTAAGCAAATCAATGCAATGTGGATTCATATTTTTATTAATAGGAGAAAGCACTTACAAGCTGGGAGATCAGAAGTGTGGCAGGCTTTCAAGAGAGGTTTTCCTTTTTCCTTAAATATCTCACCTGTGCCCATCCCCTGTCCACGCCCAAAGGCTCACCCTTACAATTCCCCTTTTAGTCTAAATAAAAGATTTAAACTTGATACAAAAAACATATACAACATATATACATAGAAGATGATAAGCAAGTTATAATCTACTTATGTCTTAAACTAACATATCTATCCCATCTAAATCCTAAACTTATCTGAAGGGGTGCCCAGGTCTTAACACCTCCTTCCAATCCCAACCCTAAAATAATTGAAAACTAACTTTAACAGGTGTAAGATATCCTGTAATATCAATAGTAGGGAAAGGGGGCATAGTATTCTCAAAATTCTGAATTTCATTTTAACAATAATAAACATCAGTTAAGGACAGGTGTGGTGTATACACCTTTCATTCCATCATTTGGGAGGCAGAGGCAGATGGATCTCTGAGTTCAGGCCAGCCTGGTCTACTTAGTGAGTTCTAAGACATCCATGGCCTACATAGTGAGATCCTGTTTCAAAAAAATAAATTAATACATTAAATTAAAAATCAGTTAAATAGTGGAACTGGAGAGACAGTTTAGCAGTTGAGAGGGCTTTCAGTGGTCGTGAGCACTGGAGTTCTGACCCTGGTGCCTACATAACAGACTGCCTGTGGTCCTCTAAGCCTGACTTTGGGGAAGATGCAGATATAGGGGCCTCACAGGAGCCTCCTGGCTTTCAGCCTAGCTAAGTCTCTGCCTTAGAGGAACAGTTAGATAGATGGGGGACACTTGACCCTTTGTGGTCTCTGCACACACATAAGTGAAATCTTTTTAACAATTGAATTTAAAAGTTAAGAAGCAGGGAATGCAATTGGTAGAGTGTCTAGCATGTGTGAGGCCTTGGGTTCAAGTTCCAGCTTCACATTAACCAAATGTGGCGATGCCAACCTGTTAACCCAGCACTATGGAAGAAAATCGGAAGTTCAAGGCCATCCTTGGCTTTCAAGATCAGTTTGAGGGGAAGCAGGGATGGCACAGGCCTTTAATCATAGCACTCAGGAGGCTGAGACAAGTAGATCTCTGAGTTTGAAGACAGCCTGGTCTACAGAATGAGTTCCAGGATAGCCAGGGCTACACAGAAACACTGTCTCAGAAAAAAAAAAAGAGAGAGAGAGAGAGAGAAGATATTACCAATATCAGGCATAACAGGTAACATTACTACAGATACCACAGATATTAAAAGGAACTGGGGGAATGATACCGTGAACAGCTTTACTCGTTAAATAATAGTACAAAATAGTTTTTCTATTTTCTTTTTTGTGAGGTTGCTTGGGAAGCTTTATTGGGAAAGGGAAAGAAATAAGGGAAGGGAAGAGAGAGAGGGGCGAGAGAAAGAGACCTGCCTTCTCAAAGAAATGGCAGAAAGAACAATATTTCTTTTTTGTTGTTGGGTTTTTTGTTTTGTTTTTGTTTTTTTGTTTGTTTTATTTTTGGTTTTTCTAGACAGGGTTTCTCTGTGTAGATCAGACTAACCTCTAACTCAGAGATCCGCCTGCCTCTTGCCTCTCCCTCGTAAGTGTAGAGATAAAAGGCATGCACCATCATGCCTGAAAATTGTTTTTCTTAGAAGATGTCTGTTGATATTACCCCCTGTGATCTTGAACTGATAGGCTCAATGTTTCTCATATTACCTCCTGTGATCTTGAACTGATAGGATTAAATGCTTCTCATTCCTCAGTCTCCCAAGTAGCTGGAACTACAGGTATGTTCACTTGGCCCTAGAAAATGTCCTTGAAAGATGATCGAGACTGACTAAAAAGTAAATGGATAGCCAAACCGGGTTGTAGTGGTGGCGCACGCCTTTAATCCCAGCACTCAAGAGGCAGAGGCAGAGGCAGGCAGACCTCTGTGAGTTCGAGGGGGTTTAGGACAGCCAGGGCTGTTACACAGAGAAACCGGGTCCTGGGGGGAAGGGTGGGGAGAGACAAAAAAAAGCAAACAAAGGTGGGCGTTGGTGGCGCACGCCTTTAATCCCAGCTCTCAGGAGGCAGAGGCAGGTGGATCTCTGTGAGTTGGAGTCCAGCCTGGTCTACAGAGCTAGTTCCAGGACAGCCTCCAAAACCACAGAGAAGCCCTGTCTCAAAAAAAAAAAAGCAAACAAAAAAAGTAAATGGATACTAACCTATATTAAACTCAATTTATAGTTTAAAACCTTAAACATGAGCTCCATTTATTAAATGTGGTTTTGGATTTTAAAGTTTATATATATATGCATACATATACATATATATAAAGAGGAAATAAACTTTGAACTGAACTGAGAGTAATAATGTACATAGGGTGTGCATATACATAGGGTGTAGTTGTAGATAAGGAAATAAACTGAACCAATGTAAAAGACTGCTATTCACAGATTGGTTCCCTGCCCTTGTGTAATTGCTTTAAATCATTCTAAAGATATGAGAGAAACTGCTGCCAAGGTAGTTTAGTGACTCTTTTTTTCCCAGGCATACATTATCTTATGTAATCCTTTCCCATAACTGAATCAGGGCTAATCTATGTGAATAGACTGGAACATAGGTGACAGGACATGCCATGGTAGGCACTATAACTTCTGCCTTGCCTCTTAAAAACTCTATAGGATAAACCAGTCTCTGAGACATGATACCCAAGCAACCATGTGGAGCCACCTCCTTGCAGAAGTGCTGAGCCTTCTCGCCAGCACTGACTCCTCAGGAATGTCAGAATGGTGGGAACCATGCCTTTGATGGTGCTCAGTGAAGCTCTGATAACTGTAACCTAAGATCCCAAGCCAGACCTCAATTCCTGACCCACAGAAACTGTCAGATGATAAATACTGTTTTGATTCATTCATGTTTGTTTTGTTTTTTTATTTTTTTTAAGACAGGGTTTCTCTTTGTATCCCTGGCTGTTCTAGAACTCACTCAGTAGAACATATTCAGAGATCCACCTGCCTCTGTTTCCCAAGTGATGAGTGTCACCACTGCCTAGCAAATACTGTTATTTTATGCCTCTAGGCTTTGAGTAATTTGTTATACAATAATTTTGCTTTGTTTTGCTTTTTCAAGACAGGGTTTCTCTGTGTAACAGTTCTGGCTGTTCTGGAATTTGCTTTGCAGACCAGACTGGCCTCGAACTCACTGAGATCCGCCTGACTCTGCCTCCCATGTGCTGGGATTAAAGGCGAGCGCCACCACTGCCTGACAAGCAATAACTTTTTAAAAACCTAATGTTTTTTTTTTTTATTTTGAAGTTCATGGTTGCTGGAAAGCCACATTCAGGTTTCTGTTCAAAATTTTTCTGTGAAAGGGTTCTCTTTGCCAATTTACCTCCTTTGATTCAATTCCTTTGCCTTGATTTTCCCTCATTTATATTTGACTGTCTGTATGTGACTTAGTGTGTGTGTGTGTGTGTGTGTGTGTGTGTGTGTGTATGTGGAGAGGTGTTCACAAGTGTGTCTTCTCCATTAATATGGCTATTCTGTTTTATGAAGATAAGGATTTAGCTTTGCTTGATCCTGCCTCTGAGGCCTGGAATGTTACCTGACATATAAAAACTCAATGAATCAACTGTTGGATTAAGGCAAAATACCAGCATTCATATTTGCCTTAGTGTTGCTTGGGTTCTTAGTTGAATGAGGGAAGCATATAGGCTGTGAGCTTGTGGGAACTGACACTAAATGTTGACATTAGAATCCTTATAACAAAATTTTTGCTTTTATGTTTTGAATATCTTTTATGTCAATAGATTTTTTTTTTTTTTGGTTTTATGAGACAGGGTTTCTCTGTATTGTTTTGGAGGCTGTCGGTCCAGCCTGGCCTCGAACTCACAGAGATCTGCCTGCCTCTGCTTCCTGAGTGCTGGGATTAAAGGTGTGCGCCACCATCGCCCGGTGTCAATAGGTATTTTGCTTGCAGGAATGTCTGTGCCCTATTGATGTGCCTGGTGCCTCTGGAGGTCAGGAGGGTATCAGATCCCCTGGAACTAAAGTTACAGTTTGTGAGCCTCCATGTGGATGCTGGGAATTGAACCCAGGTGCTGTGTAGGTGTAGTCAGCGCTCTTGACTGAGCCATTTTTCCAGCCCCCAATTTTTTCTTTTTAAGAAATGGAAAATAGAGCGTGCCAGTAGTGGTGGCATATGCCTTTAATCCCAGCACTTGGGAGGCAGGGGGATCTGTGAGTTCCAGGCCAGCCTGATCTACATGGCAAGTTCCAGGATAGCCTTAGTGATACAAAGAAGGTCTCAAAAAAAAAAAAAAAAAAAAAAAAAAGAAAGAAAGAAAGAGAGAGAGAGAGAAATGAAAAATGATTCTCTTGGTAGAGTAATTTTGTAGCACCCATGAGGACTTGGTTTTGATCCCCAGCACCTCTTAAATGGAGTGCATTATTGAGTGATATAGGCAAGAGTTCAGGGTTATCCTTGGCTACAGAGAGTTCAGGAACCATATAGGCTCCATAAGACCATCTCAAAACAACAACAACATTGTTTACAACTGTATTTTCTGTTGATTCACATCTCTTCAAAGAATATTGTAATAGCCTGTAAACTGGCCTTTGGTGATCCCTACCCCTGACACTTTTCAGCCTCTCCCAGATATGACTGACTTATGCAACCAATAAAATGAAGATATTGGAAATTCTTA